TACAGGCATGTGCCACCACGCCCCACTGTGTTGTTTTTTTTTTTTAAAGAAGCCAAAAATTCCAAAATTCTTACTATACAAACCTCTATGTTCAAAGAGGTTTTACTGCATCCAGACAGAGCTGATATTAATGGGAAGAGTCACTGCAGTTAGACAGATAATACTGAACCCAGTTAGAAGGACACAGCAAATTGAAGCTAGCTGAAGGGTCCAGGTGAGCTCCAAAGGAGGACTGTGGTGAAGTGCAGGACTGAGAAGGGACAGACAGATGCACAGACAAATTCAAGATTACAACATCAAACAATGGGGCCCTGCTTGGTTGAAGCTCAGAGAACTGGCAGAAAAACTCTGACTTAATCACTTAACCAGGGGTTCAGATGACAGTGGGCAGGCTGTTACCATTAATCACAGGGCCTTGTCCTTCCTATTTTGTAATGGAAGTTTTGGTTTCTTTGTATATTATGTAAATATGCTTTTGTTTTAATCCCAGGGGTGGGATTTTAGTTGGGCTATAGTTTGTCTACACCTGTAAACTGTCACATGCTGGGATTAAATTTGAGCACCACCAGACACAGCTTATAACCTTTTGTTTTGCTTTGTTTTTATTTCAAGACAAGATTTCTTTGTGTAGCCCTGGGTGTACCAGAACTCTCCATAGACCAGGCTGTTCTGGAACTCAGAGATACCCCTGCCTCTGCCTCCCAAGTGCTGGGATTAAGGCGCCACCACCGCCCCGCTCCAAGTAAATCTTGAAATTCATTTCTCCAGCATTGATAACTCCGGTGTTCTACATTTTTAATATATGGTATTCACCTATCATCCTATCAATTTTCTTCCATTTCAACCTCATGAATAATATCAGTAACTCTGTACCACTGATCTGACACCTACAAACTTTTGTTTATTCACTTTTTTGGAGACCGGATATGATGTAGAAAAACTGACCTTGAGGGACTAGAGGTGGCTCAGTGGTTGTGTGCACTGCCTGTTCTTACAGGGGAAAGGTCAATTCCCAGCAGGTGAGTGGTGGCTCACAACTACTTGTAACTAGTTCCCAAGGTTGAGACACCTTCTTCCGGCCGCGATGGACGCTGCAGGCACGTGTGTGTGTGCAGGTACCCATACACATAAAAAAAAAAAAATACATTTTAAAAGATGATCTAGAAGTTCTGATTCCCCCGTCTCCACTTCCCATGCCGGGATGTGTGTCACCACACACACACACACACACACACTTTATCCATGCTTTATACAGTGCTAGGAATGGAATCCAGAACTTTGTGCATGCTAAGCTAAGCAAGCACTCTCCTCCCACCAAGCCATGTCCTCAGTCCTATCTATTTATATTTTAAATTAATTTCTTAGATGTGCTAGTTAGTTTCTGTCAGCTGGACACAAACTAGAGTCACCTGGGAGAGGGAACCTCAACTGAAGAATTGTCTCCATCAGATTGGCCTGTGGACATGTTTGTAAGGACATTTCCTTGATCAATGACTGAGAGAGCCCGGCTCACTGTGTATGGTCCCATACCTGGACAGGTGGACCTCTGTTGTATCAGAAAGCAAGATGAGCAAGTCATGGGAGAGGACCCCAAGCAGTGTTCCTCTGTGCTCTCTGCTTCAGTTCCTGCCCTGATTTTATTGGTTTTAATCTCAAGGGTGGGATTTTAGTTGGGCTATAGTTAGTTCATCCATACCTGTTAACTGTCTCCTTCGGGGCGTGGCTCTGCCTGCTGGTAAAGGCTTTCCTTGTGCTGTGTGGGTGTGAGAGGGGTGTGGTCTAGAACTCAGACTATAAAGAGCTGAGAAAGAGAAGGTGTGGCGTTAGGTGTGGCCTGTAGCAGTTTGGAGCAGACAGACTGAGGGAAATGCTTTGGGGTACAGCAGTGTGGAGGAACCTGCTGGCTATGTCTGTGTTTGACAGAGATTGGTATAGCACCCTAAAAGAACCCCTTCACCCTAAACAGCCAGGAAAAGGGGTCTAGGCCTGTGTCCCTACTACCCTGTTCTGTCCCATGTAAGGGTTGGGAGGTTGGAAGACTGAAGCCTCAACACCCCACATAAAGTAGTTTTTAGAAAGCGCACTACAAAAACCAGTCTGTGCAGACCAGCAATGGCACCTCCTCCTCCCAGATGCTTCCAGTCTGAGGGAGGACTACAGAGATGAGCGTGTGTGAAAACTGGCAACCTGGCTTCCTCCTCAGAGACGCCTGCAGTCTGGTTACAGTCTGAGATCGCTGACTGCAGAGGCCTCCTTCAGAAATCAGCTAACCCCTCCACCCGTGCTCCATCTAACACCGGGGTTCCAGGGTGCAGAGGCGGCCTTGCAGAACCCTAACTTATCATAGCTTTATTGTGCATGTGTATTTGTCCTTCCTCCATTCCCTGGAAGACCCTGGCCCAGGTTCCAGCACCCAAGCTGGGAACAGTACCCTCATTCTCTCCACCACCTTTTTCTCCATTTCTAACATTTTGGTGATTACGAGGTTAAGAGACATGCCAGCAGTGATTGGGTACAAATGCACTCACAGAACAGTCATCTCTGCGAACACAAATTACAAAGCTGTTTCAGCAACCAAAAGACACAGCACACTACACCCTTAAAATAGCACACATATTCTCTGAAACGGATGCAATTTTGAGAAAATTCGCTCAGATAATGAGAATCTTCGTGACCAATCTCCTGTATGACATCCTACAGGACATATTTGGATAGGAGTTTAAAATGTTTTCTTTCACTGTTGGCAAAGAAGAGAACTCTGCCCCTCGAGAGACTGAGCACCGCGAGAATGGTGGCACATCCCTTCACTCCAGAGGCAGAGGCAGGTTCTGAGTTTACTAGCTTAGCCTACATCTTGAGTTCCATGCCAACCAGGGCTATACAGTGAGGCTCTGTCTAATGAACAAACAGACAAATAAAGAGGGGGGTGGGGGTGGTGGCGGCGGCGGCAGCACACCCCTTTAATCTCAGCACTAGGGAGGCAGAGGCAGGCAGATCCCTGAGTTTGAGACCAGTCTGGTCTTCAGAGCAAGTTCCAGCACATAGAGCCCCTATCCCAAACAGCAATAAATAAACAAACAAGCAATAAAAAATTCAGCATCCTGACACAAAGGTTGTTTTGTTTTGTTTTTGTTTTTTTGGAGACAGGGTTTCTCTGTGTAGCCTTGGCTGTCCTAAACTCCCTGCCTGACTCTGCCTTCTCTAGCACTGGGATGAACACAGGTGTGAGCCACCAAACCAGGCACAAAGGGCTTCCACCACCAACAGTGAACACTTCTCAGATTAGAAGCTTCTAAGCTGTACCAACAAAAATTTCTGATTTCAAGGTCATTAAAAAACAATCAGACAAGAATGACTGAGCTTAATCCTCCTTAATCATATTCAGGTATGATCCAGTCTAAACAATATATAATAACATTAAATTTCTTTTTTTAGTATCACCAGAAATCTTTCATTTTTGTAGATTTCCACTGGCGCTTAAGCCTATGAGCACCAATACATTTTTATTCCTTGAATGTTTTTTTGTTTTTCGAAGACAGGGTTTCTGTGTGTCCTGGAACTCATTCTGAAGATCTGGCTGGCCTCAAACTCAGAGACCTGCCTGCCTCTGACTCCTGAATACTGATATTAAGATGTGTGCCACAGTTGATCTTATATGTTTTTTTTTTAAAAAAAAAAAAAAAAGATTTTTTTAATTGCACTTGTTTGTGTGTGTTCGTGTGTGTGTAAGAGAGAGGCCGGAGCACTGGATTCCTCTTGGGCTGGATTCACCATGAACAGTAAGGGCGCTGAGACCTGAGCCCGGATCATCTGCAAATGCAGTATGTTAACTACTGAGCCATCCCTCCAACCCTATTGTTTTTTTTCAAACAGGGTCTCCTGTAGGATATAGCGGAACCAGACTTGAGGAGTGGGACATTGTCTTGACCTCCTCAGCCTCTGGTCTCTGTCTTCTAGGTGCTAGAATCACCAATTATCTCCAGGTACAATTATTTCAGGTACAAGCCTGAAATCCCTCTATCTGCAGGTACTCTTGCAGATGCTGAGTCATCTCTCCAGACTCATTTTTTCTTTTTTTGAGACAAGGTCTCATGTAGCCCAGGCTGGCCTCAGACTCAGTATATAGCTAACCTTGACCTCCTGATCCTCATATCTCTGCTTCCAGAGTTCTTGGACTGAGGTATGCACCACACTAAGCTTGCTGCTTAATTTTTTTCATAGCATCTCCTCCTTTGTAAGCAATGCTTCTTGGATTTAGAGAATAGAGAAAACAAAACAAAACTGACGGGTGGAGACAGTCAGTTGTCTGACGCTTGCCTAGCAAGCTTAAGGCCCTACCTGAATTTCCCATATCACACTCGCCCACACACACTAAATTAGCTTGTGTTTTGGACTACACATTGTAACCATAGCACTTGGGAAGCTAATGTGGAAAGATTGTTGCAAGTTTGAGGCCAGCCTGATCTACATGGCATATTTCAAGCCAGTCAGGCAAATAAGACTGTGTTTCAAAAAAACAACAAAACAAAACAAAGAAGGAAGGAAGAAGGAAGGAAGGGAGGAAGGAAAGAAGGGAGGGAAAGGAAAGGAGGAAGGAGGAAGGAAGGAAGGAGGAAGGAAAGAAGGAAAGAAGGAAAGAAGGGGAAGGGAAAGGAAGGAAGAAGGAAGGAAGAAGGAAGGAAGGAGGAAAGAGGAAGGAAGGAGGAAGGAAGGACGAAAGGAGGGAGGGAAGGAAGGGGAAAGAGAGAGAGAAAGAAAGAAAATATTTTAGATCTTACTCGGAATTAATATGAAAAGGCCAGAGCTGAAACTTTTTGCCGAGTGGCAGACTGAGCCCATACAGGGACATCTGTGTCACAGGCCCACACAGCAGTGATCTATCCTGTAATTGATACTATATAAGCATAAATCTGAGCAAGGGGCAGAATATATTATTTCAAGCTTAGAACACCGGAGTTATATAAAACTGTCTTAAAACACACAGATAAAGGCCAACCACATTCTTCTGTTCAATTAATTTATTGATGGATTGAGGAATACAATTTTAATGGGACAATAAGGCACAACTGTGGATTAAAACAGTTTGCTATACAGCCAAGGGGGGTATAATTTTAGAAACATTAAATATGAAAATCAAGAAGCCACTGAAGTACTTCTCAAACAGATCAGTATCAGACAATCTTCCCTTTTATACAATTCTTATAGTACATCATTTGATCACAAAGTCTGACAGATATTTCAGAGAAAATTCCCCAATTCATGTAGACTCCAGCCATCCATCCTGGCCAGTCCCCTGTTCCTCATCTTTACCCATCCTTTATGCAGTGTTTCTGGTTGGGATTTAATAGCAATTTCTTTCCTAAGGAATTGCTTACATATCTTGGGTAGCCTTCCAAAGCAACAAAGCAAGCAAGCAAGCCAACAACAGAGCAGATTCACAGGGACGTAGAACAGAAGCAGCCCGATTTAGTGAAGTGTAAGCCAAGCTGACACTGTCAGAGAAGTTGAACTGGGTCACTCAAAGACCTATAATGTCACCTCAGCTGGTGCCACCACTGCCAGGCTCCATGCTTCTAAAGGATCTGTGTGGTGTATACAAGGAGCTACGAAGGGCCTGTGACTAGGAAGCTCATGAGACAACACACTCCATGCCTGGACCAGGATTGTAAACTGACTAGACACCTGCCAGCATTAAAATTTGCCAAGTATACAATTCATTCAGAATTTTGTGCAAAACTTTAAGACACTGAGGACAATCTAATTCTTCAGGACTGAGATAAGTCAGGCACTTCCATAGCACTAGTCTTTCTGTTTGGAAATGTGAAGAATCTTCCAGTGTACAAACACTGAGGCATCTGCAGAGCAAATGTGGACAGCTCTCAACAGGCCGAGCCCCTACCACATTGTTAGGACAGACACTTGGGGGTGACAGCGTCCCAGAGAGAAGCAAAATGGCAGGCATAAGACTGTTTTCTGAATGTCAACAATGTACTCAGAGAAGCCAAATACATATGCTGAAAATAAAAAGTCAGAGGTAGAGAGACCTGGGGAAGTCACCTAGGAGACATGGCTCTACAAGCCTTCCATGACCACCTTTCAAGAACAACTCTGCTCATAACCCCTGTGATGACAGAGCAAAACAGGGGAAGAAGAGAGTCGCATGCTTCCAAGAGTACCCCTGGCTGCTGAAAAGCTCCTGGGTAGCAATGTCCCAGAGACACAATCAGGAGACGGCAGATGTAAGCCAGCAGCCACCTGCCATCCTGCCACATCAGAAACAGGCTCGACAGCAGAGCCTGGAGTCAAGCAGAATGCAGGGAATCTCAATGAAAGGAGGGAGGCTGAAAGACTGAATGCACAGAAGGTCGAGTGATAGCAAGGTAGGAAGACACAGGAATATGATGGAGGCTTGATGAAGGGAAGGCAGCAAGGACATGGTCCCCATCCAGTTCAAGCTTTGCTGGCCGGTTCTTGACATGAGTCCCTGTCTCATTTCCTCAGACAAGATGGATGCATGGCACTCAGCAGCAAAACAGGGGAAAATGGTACTTACAAATAGAGACCTGATGGGTGGATACTGAACAGAAATAAACAGAGGGTACCATTCTGTAACGCCCTGTTTATACACAAAAGGCAAGTTTGTGTGAACAGGAGAGACTTCAGGTTGTCATGCAAGAGCAGCAATATTCTGGGAGGGGATGACAGGCTGGGGGTGGGGCTGGAGGACAGCAGGAAGTTCCAGTTCTTAAATATGAGAAAGCAAGAATAATTTGGTCTCTGTCCTTTAGTGAAGAAATCGGATGCTCATTTTCTGTTCTACATCCACCTTCTCCAAAACCTGAAGTTGAAAAACAAAAACAATTCATCAGTAAGATTATGACTACTCTAAGCACCTTTCTAAACCATGGGTGTCCTCCTCCTCCTATGCAACAGAAATTAACTTAAAATCAAAAGGTAGGGGGAAGGGTCTCATAGGGCAGACCCCTCCCTGAGGATCCACACGGAGCTGCTGGTTGCTGGGAAGAGATCATACATTCCCCATATGCTCCTGTAAGTAACCCCAATTCAAACTCTTCACCCCCCACCCAAAAGACATGAACATGAATGAGTAAGTCTAGTTGAGAAAAACAAGGGAATCCGCAAGTAGGAGGGGACAGTGTGACTATGATCAAAACATATACATGTATAAAAACGTTATAACGACACCCATATATATAAAATTAATAAGTGCCAATAAAAAATAATTGAAAAAAAGTCAAAAGGTGATAGACAGACCTTAACAAACTCTGTGAAAGATATGGCACTATCCCCATCTTGATCAGCCTCCTGGATGGTCCTGTCTGCAATGCTGCCCAGCTGCTCATCTGAGATATTCACTCCGACCATCATCCGCAGTACCTACAAGACCAACAGAAAAAGCCACCTCAACCCCTCTTCCTTTGATTCCCTCAGATTCACTAGCTACAGAACTGGAATCCTTAGTGTCTTATGGAGACCATTCTGAAGAAGGAAGCGATCAGACCTCTGGCTAAGGCACTCTCCTCGTCAACAGTTCTTACTCCTACTTAGACCATAGACGTGATGTCTGCCGGCACAGCAGGCACGGGTGCTGTGAGATACATCACACATGATGAATTCTAGAACAAGAAGCAGCTGAAAAGACAGCTGGCTGTGTTTGCTGTTGACAGAGAACTGGTGTAGCCCCAAAAGAACCCACCAACCCTAAACATCTGGGAGAGGTAAAGGGGCCCTCTCTCTCCACTACCCTCTCTCCTATGTAGGGTTGGGAGGTTGAGGCCCAAACACCCCAAATAAAGTAGAGCTTTAAAAAAAGTGCTACATAACCATGGTACCTTAAACAAAACATGTAACTTCAATGTTCTCTAGCCTAATGGCTCACAAATTTTCCTTTCCCTACTCCTTTACATCCTGCTGAAAACATTAAATTGCATGACCAGTGGGTTTTTGTTTCTTACCATGTATTTTTCTGAAGGGTGGGGAGAGGACTGTTTTCCAGACTGACTTGCTATGCGGTTCAAGCTGGCCTTGCATGCCTGTACTCCAACAATCTTCCTTCGCTTTCCAAGTAGCTGATACACACTATCTTACATAGCTCTCAACCAATTCTTAAAAACCAGAAGTTGTGATTCAGGGGTTAAGAGCACTGGCTGCTCTTTCAGAGGACTGGGGTTTGATTACCAGCACCACATGGTGGCTCACACCTGACTGTAATTCTAGTTCCAGGGGATACAATATCCTCTTCTGGCCTCCCTGGGAACCAGCCATGGATGTGGTGCACAGACATACATGCAGGCAACATGTACATATGTATTAACTAAAATATGTAAACACTTTTAAGAGGTTACACCACTAAGTATCATTTGGGTGAAGCCATTGCCACCTCCACTAAGTGTGAGACCAAGCAAATTGATCCCCAAACTGCAGCCTCTCAGCTCTCAATTCAAGTAGTCCCTGAAGGGTTTTGCTTAGAAGACGGTAAGCGCTTGGGCCATGGTGAGCCTGTGGGCAGGATGCTGCCTAACGTGTGAGGCCCTGGCCATCACCCCCAACTTTAAACACACAAAAGAATTATGGAGTTAGAACATACGTGTGTATGTGTTCATGTGGGGGGATGGACAAGACTGGTATGTAACGAGGTACATTTATCCGGTCCTTTGATAAGGACAAGGGATCCAGAAGTGGTTTGACCCAGGTCCCTGGAATTAGTGGCAGATGCTGTCTGTCTAGGCCTCCATTCCCAGGCCAATGTTTCTTTCACCTGTCCACCGTACCATTTACTAATCTAGTTGGAAGTTTATTGGACACTGACTGTTATTCAGTTTTCTTATTATTAGTTTCTTTATGCATGTTGCCCTTTTTTGTGTGGCCTTCTCGATTAAACCCAGGGCCTTGCACATGTCACATGTGCATTCTGCCACTGAGTGTCATCTCCAGCCCTCTTGTCTGAAGAGGGCACTGGATCCCTGAACTGGAGTTATAGGTGGTTGAGCCATAATGGAGCTGCTGGAAACTGAATGCGAGCGAGACCTCTCAAAGAAGAGCCAGTGTTCTTAACACTGAGCTGTCTCTCTGTCCTAGGTTTGGATTTCTTTGGATGGTATTTTCCTCATACTGTCTTATAAAGTCTGAGTTATGCTAGCCTCATGAAATGGGTCAGTAAATGCAGCAACCATCTCTACTTAAGCATAACTGACACAATAGACTAGACATATTTACCAAATGCTTTGGAAATTACAGTGCCTAGAAAGACAAGCTTGTTCTCTTCTACTTCGGAAAACTGTTCTCTTCTTGCTAGGCTAAACCTAGTTACCTGGATACTTCGACAATCTAGAAGCCCATCTGTGACAAAGCCATTTCTGGTCCACAGTAACTTTCCCATCCCATGTCACATAATTCCTTAGAAATCATAATAAAGAAAATAAACCAACCCTCCATTTCAAAATCATCTTTCTGGCAGCCAGAGCTGGACCACAGGCTGAAAATATGTAAATTTGGAATGGCTAATCCCACCTTCTCAGCCCTCAAAGGCAAAGGGTGTGACTTTCAGTCAGACAGTATGTTTTTCACTGAAAAAAGCTATTCCCACTTCAAAAGCATAGGGCAAGATCAATATCCATGACGGATGGTGGGGAGGGGCTCAGGAGACTCCCACCCACGGTCGAAGTGCTCCTGGCATCTGGGGCTGCAGGCATTTTTTGTAGGGAGTTTGGCCACTACTAGCAGGCTGCCCCTGTTCCAACAGATGGTCCAACATCCATTAGCACATAGGTAGCACTAACTAGATTCAGTGGGATATTTTTTTCAAAAAGAACACACCTTGGGAGAGGGATATATTGGAGGGGATAATAAAGTGAAGGGGGAGTGCAGATATGGTAAAAAATATCACACACGTATGAAATTCCCAAAGGACTAAATAGTAAATATTATGTGTATTTTTTTTTTTCAAAGTAAAGGCCAAAGGATACTACCACTAGCCCGCTGTTTTGTGTTTTCTCATTGAAATGTAGGAACGCTGAGTTGGTCCCTAATCTCATCTGGGTAGGCTTCAACTTATGAGATTTTTGAAGATATAAAATGAGTTTCGGTTTACTAAAAGCAAAAAGCACTTTTCCTTTTAAATATATCTTGAGGGCTGGAGAGATGGCTCAAAGGTTAAGAGCACTGGGTGTTCTTCCAAAGGTCCTGAATTCAATTCCCAGCAACCACATGGCGGCTCATAACCATCTATGAGATCTGGTGCCCTCTTCTGGTAAGCAGGCACACATGCAGACAGAACACCATGTACATAATATATATATATAATATGTAATATTATATATTACTGTATATATGATATATAACTGTATATATAACATTGTATATATAACTGTTCATATACTGCATATATAATATATATGTGTATGTGTATATATAATATAATCAAAACAAAGAACTTGCCCCATGGAAATTCCTCCATGTGCTAGCTACCTGGAGTCTTCCAGATTCAGTGCCAGGGACAGTTTCCTACTGTGCTAAACTCATAAAAAGAGAAAGAGATAATGAGCGATGCATTAGTCATAGCTGGGAAGCAGGGAGACGCTCAGTGGAGCTGCCAACGACTGGGAGGGTTAGTTAACTGGGCAGGTGGTGGCCACAGCAGCCCCTTGACTCTGACTAAAGAGCAGAATTTACTTCAGAGCCCTTGGGACTAAACAGCTGCCAACACGCTGAGCCATCAACAACTGCGCTATCTGACCTAGCCGCTCTGTACTTCCCCTTTGTCACTCAGCACCTCAGAGACTGTCAGTTTAAGTGCTGGGGACTGCCCATCCGTGAAGGCTCAGTGACCCCAATCAAGTATTTCCAAGTCTTCTCTGCCTTTTATCTCCAAGAGGATTCCTTCCGAGGCAGGGTTAACAGTGTTTACTGAAAAGAAAGAGCAACTGCTGCCCATAAAAATAAACAGTTAGGACCCGAAATACACGCTGTTCCTAAACTTTCCCACGTACCTGTAACAGCTCATCACGGGAGATCTTGTCATCTTTATCCAGATCATATAGTCTAAAAGCAACTGGTATGAAAACACAAGAAGTCAGTGGGAAATCTTTGTCCTTTTCAAGGAGCTAAACACACAAAGGACAACAGACAGAAAATGGATACCCAATTTACAGATTTCCTAAGACAACTGTCATTCCTAGTAGGACTTTTTTTTTTTTCTTTTTTCCTTAGTTTTGTTTTGTTTTTCTGCACAGCTCTGGCTGTCCTGGAACTCACTCTGTTGACCAGGCTGGCCTGAAACTCACAGAGATCCGCCAGCCTCTGCCTCGCTAAGGTTAAAGGCATGTGCCACCACATGTGCTTTACTTTCTTAAAAGTTCTACTAAGGCTGAGCGGTGCTGGCACATACCTTTAATCTCAGCACTCTGGAGGCACACGTAGTAGACCTCTGTGAGTTCAAGGCCAGCCTGGTCTATAAAATGAGTTCCAGTGCTGTTACACAGAGAATCCATTTCCAAAAACCAAAAAAGAAATTGAAAAACATCTTAGACTTGAAATATGATCTGTCTTAATCAGAAAAATTAATAAAAGAAAGCCAAGAATTCCTTTTCTTATAGTAAAACGAGGGAATAAAGAAAACTTCCTGTAACCGCGATCCCTTAAGTAGTGTGGCAAGTTAAGTCACTGTACAGCACCCATCAGTTCCACCACTCACAAATCGGCGAGACCAAAAAGAGCCACACAAGCACCAGGATGGAGGCCTAACATAGCTACGGGAACTGAGCTTGTTAAGATCTTACGTCAAATCTCCCACTCTTCCTTCAAGCAAAGAACTAGAATTAAATTGGTGCGGTTACAGGTATCCCGATGCCCAACAAGAACCGGAGTTTTAAGTAAAATCACTAACTCTGACATCTAGACAGAACACCCCACTTGACCACCCAGAGCTGGGACTGAGTGTGTACGGTATACCTTACTTGTCACTTGAGTGGAATATATAAATTCCAGTCCCCAGCAAGTGCCCTAAAGAAGTGTTTCTTCTTTAATAATACATAAACCTTTTAGGAATCAGGATATATAAAAACTTGGCTTATATGTCAGTATAAGAAAGAAAAATCAGGAGAGTAAAACTACTCGGTTTTTTGCTCTGTTGTTTAAGGCCTACTGTGTGGACAGGGTTTCAGAACACTAAACAAGTGACTGTTAGATAACTCAATACAGGTTGGTTTTTAAATTACTGGTTATTTTAAATTTCTGTATTTTTATTTTGTGTTTTGAGTTAGGATCTTGCTCTAGAGCCACACTGGCCTATGTGGTCCAGGCTGGCCTCAGACTTACAGCAATCTTCCTACTTCAGACCTGCAACAGGAGGGTCTATGATGGATGGCTTCAATTTTTGGCTTTCAAAAGGTGACTGCCAAGATAGGCACTGGGATGTACACCTATAATTCCAGGACTCGGGAGACAGGAGGATCAGGAATGTAGGGCCAACTTCAGTAACACAGGGTGTTCCGGGCCACCCTAGGCTCCAGAAGACCCTGTCTTATGAGCAAAAATAAGTAAAAGGGACCTGAACCCGGGTCCTCTGGAAGAACAGCAAGCCCCCTTAACTTCTGAGCCAGCTCTCCAGTGCTTTGAGACAGGGTCTCACTGCTGCCCGTGCTACCTTTGAACTTTGAACTAACAGAGTTCTCTTGCCTCTGCCTCCCAAATGCTGGGGTTAAAGTCACGCTTCATCATGCCTAGCTCTTAATTTCTTGACTAGAAAAATGGAATGAAGAGTTTCCTCACCCCAACCCCCCTTTTTTGAGTTAGGTCTTATATAACCTTGAATTCACTCTTCCAGAGAACTGAATACACAATGGGAGGCTCACCAACATCTTCCAGCACACACACACACAAACACAAGTATGTGTACACACAGAGAAATTTACATTTTTTTTTTTTTTTTTTTTTTTTTTTACAGAAGAGGGTTTGGGTTCCAGGGCAGCCAGGGCTACACAGAGAAACTTTGTCTTGAAAAACAAAAACAAAGAAAAAGAAAAAAGAAGAGGAGGAGGTGGGGCGCTGACTCAGTAGGTAAGAGTGGCCACACAGCAAGCTTCAAGTTCAGTGAGCGATCTTGTCTCAAGGAAAGCCACAGAGAAAGATGGAGAAGAGCACCAACATCCTGCTCCGGCCTCCTCAAGTGGATGTGGACCTACAAACTCACATGCCCACACCCGTGAGAGAGGAGGGTGACTAGCAGGAAGAGGGGAGCGGGAGTAGCAGCGGCAGTGGCAGCGGCAGCAGGAGCAAACTCTTTCAAAGACTGAGAGGTGAGAGCTCCCACGTGGCCCAAACCTCACCGCCATCCACACTTGCTAACATTACTATCAGGCCTTGGCACGGACAGTGGACATTAAATTTTACTGTCCTGCAGAGTCCCTGAGTTTTGACAAATGCATAACTGGTATTACTACTGCAATGTCATAGAGTATAGTTTTATGCTTCTCCAAATCCACCTTGACCCCACCTCCTTTAAACAGCCCCACCTATAGTTCCTGAAAGAGAACCCCATGGACCTAATTCCTTTGGTACTTGGTCCTCTCCTAACCCAAACAACCTCCATCAGTTTATCTGTCTTTATCTGTCTTTTTTCTCCCTGCCCTAAAACAATGTATTAAGCCATGGCAATAAAATACACTATACAGAAGAGAAGAGCTGCTGAGAGAACTGGATCCAAGAGATATACCAGAAGTTTGCAAGTGCTGAAGCCTATCAGTCATTATTACAGTAAAGATGTTTGTTTGTTTGTAGACAGTCTCACTGTAGCCCTGGCTGTCTTGGAACACACTAGGTAAACTGAGCTGGCCCCACAGAGACCAGCTTGCCACTGCTTCCTGAGTGCTGGTACTAAAAGCCTGTGCTATCAAGCCCAGTCAACACAGGTATTTTCCTTCATTCACTTATTTAAATGTTTAGTTGCGTGTGTGTGTGTGTGTGTGTGTGTTCACTCAGGTACTAAGGCAGGCACACATCATAGAACAACCTGCAAGAGTTGGTTCTCTCCTTCTACCAAATCCCAGAGCCTACCAAGTGGGCTCCGGGATTTGAACTCAGGTCATCAGGCTTGGTGGCAGGTGCTCTACCTACCCTACCTCTTTGACTGTTTTTTTACCTTTTTTTTTTTTTTTTTTTTTTTGAGACAGGGTCTCTTACATAGCTCTGGCAGACCAGGAGCTCATTAACATAGACCACCAGGGTGGCATCTAACTCAGAGATCTGCCTACTGTGACGAAAGGCAAGATCCACCATACCCTGTACATCCCTGGCCCTTTTCTAAGACAACTGACTTTTTCAATTATTCCTTAACACCTAGTCTTGAGACTGGCAAGAAAAGGTTTACAGTATAGTATCAAGATCATGATACTATGTCATAATAACAAGACATGTCTAGAAAAAGCAAAAAAGTAAAAAATAAAATAAATTAAAATAACCTAAGCTAGGTGTGGGGGTGCATGCCTTTGATCCCAGAGACAAGAGAATCTCTGATCTCTGTGAACTGAAGGCTAGCCTGATATATAAGGTTCCAGGACAGCTAGAGCTGTTATACAGAGAAACCCTGTCTTAAGAAGGAAAAAAAGAGAGAAAGAAAAAAGAAAGAAAGAAAGAAAGAGGAAAAGAAAAAAAGGAAAGATGAAATGAAATGAAAATGACAATAAATAAAAACACCAACAACCAATGGACCAAAAGCTTTGCATGAAGCAAACAGAATTCGGTCCTGAAAGAAAATGTGGCTCACTGGTACAGTTTATAATAACCATGAGAGAAGTCACAGAACTCTGTTGTCTGTATTCAGCTCTGCTCCTACTGAGAGTTTCTGCTCTTCTCTAAGCACCAAAATGTTGAGGTAAAAGCTCAACATTATTTTAGTACTTTTGTTCAAAGTCTTCTCTGGCCTAAATAACAAGATTCACATTAGTGATTCTCAAACTGCACTATGAATGCCAACAAAATGAATGGACAAAGCCCAAAGGCCACAAACTGAAACTGCAGGAAACATCTGTCAAATATATGCAAATGCAGCACGATGTACTCCATTTTTTCTTAAGGGTCTTTTTGTTGTTGCTCTATAGTATTTTAAAACCTGCTCTATCTTTAAATCATCATGGCTCCGTTTAACCTGTGGCTTCACAAACTTCTGGGCACCCCCACACAATCTCTTCAAAGCAGGGTTGGGCTCAATTAGTTTCATACAATTTCAGTATCAACTTATCTTGGAAGAAAAGCAGAAATTCAACTTCAACTTCCTGGAAAATGTTGTAAGGGTTTGGGCAATCGTCAATGAAGCAACAAGGGCAAAGGGAAATCTAGTATCTAAAGAAAAGAGGCACAGAAAATAGCCACTCTGGTACTGGTACCTTAGTCAAATCCACAATATACCAAGTTATAAAACAGGCAGGAGCCAACAACCTCTCATTGGCAGGGCCTGGGGTTTTGCTTTCAATTGTCCCTTCTGCACCTTCTATGCCGTCTAGAATCAACTATAACAGCAGGTAACACTTACGGAGAATCCAGTATATACAGGTATAACAGCAGGTAACACTTATGGAGAACCCAGTATATACAGGTGTAACAGCACGTAACATGGAGAACCCGGTATATACAGGTGTAACAGCACGTAACATGGAGAACCCGGTATACACAGGTATAACAGCAGGTAACACAACAGGAAAACTCTCTCAATGGGGACTACAGATGCAGCTCAGTAGAAGGGTGCTTGTCTAGCATGTATTATGCCTTGGGTTCTATCCCAAGCCTCTCAAAAACGCATGCCTGTAATCTCAACACATCAGAAATTCAAGGCCAGCCTTAGCTACATAGTAAGTTTGAGGCTAGTCTAGGGAACATGTGATCTTCTCTCTAACAGCAATCAAAATCCCTGAATAAGCTATGAAAATGACCTATAAAATCCCTTAATATCAGGCAGAGCACAGTGGCAGATGCCCATAATCAGAGCACTTGGGAGGTAGAGGCAGGTGGACCTTTGTGAGTTTGAGGCCATCCTGGTCTACAAAGCCAGTCCAGGACAGCCAGAGCTTGTTACACAGAGAAACCCTATCTGGAAAAAGAAGAAACAATCCCGCCACTCCCCCCCCCCAAAAAAAAACCTTAATATCTCATTAAACACACAGAAAACTGCACCCCAAAGATCTCAAGTTAACCTGTCCAAAGTCTCATGGGCAAAAAATGGTAAACCAAGAAATTCCAACTCAGCTCCATCCAGCTGCGTTAACAGTCTGCATTTGTAAGTGTTGAAACAGCACGAAACAGGCAGAGGCAGATGGCAAAAGCAGAGGCAGGTCCATCTCTGAGTACAGAGTGAGTGCCAAGAGAGCCAAGGCTACAGAGAAACCCTCTCTGGAAAACACAACAAAAGAAAACAAAAAGAAAAGAAGACAGAGTAAATGAGCACACAAACAATGGGGGGAGGGGAGGAAATAAGTTAAGCCCCAGGACTGATGCTCCTTACAGTGCAGTTTGTTGCTCCGGCTGTTGAGTGGCTCAGGTCCATTCACATCTTTGCTCTTTTCGTTATCCTCAATGGGTCGGAAATGAGCCAAAGTTCTCATGAATCCTCGGAAGTTTACCTGGTCCTCCCTGATTAGGAAATACAACAGAACACCATGTCAATGAGAGTGAAGTCTTCTGTTTGTATGTTTTGTCTTCTGCAGTGTTTAGGGATCAAGCTCTAGCTCTTCCATCAGCTAAACTGCCACTAAACCCATACTGATTCACGGTGATTGTTTCTTACGGAGAAGAAATGGTCAACACTTTGAGCCTGTGTAGTCCGTTTAACAAGCTTTCTTTCCATATACATGCATAATACTTTAGGGCTTAATGCAGTATCTCCATCTAAAAAGTCTCACCTCAACTGTGTGAAGTGGTATATTATTCTCATTTATTAAATGATTAGGCTGAAAGAAAGAAAACACATAACTATAGTCAGTTATCAACTGAATTTCCTTATCTCTTTCTAAAAACTGGACTTTTTTTCTCTAAGACAGGGTTTCTCTGTGTAGCCCCGGCTGTCCTGGACTCCCCTCTGTAGACCAGGCTGGCCTCGAACTCACAGAGAGCCACCTGCCTCTGCCTCCTTGAATGTAGGGATCACAGGCGTGCGCCACTACACCACTGCTAGCAAAAAATGAATTTAAAATACGGCCAGCACCACACATGAAAGCCAGTGCTTAAACTCTCTTTGCACTGAATTCTGGAACAACCAACATGTTAGTCTTCCAAACCACAATAAGGTATGCCAAGAGGTATTTTAAATTTGAAGCACATCCTAGAAAATCTTTCTTGTTTATTTGCTGTTCTGAGACAGAGTCTGACTCTGTGGCCAGCCTGGCTTTGAATTCACAGCAGTCAGGTTTTGGCTTTTCAAGTCCGAGGGAACAGGTATTAGCCACCAGGCCCAGTAACTTCGCTTTCCTCTCTGTCTTCCTTTTACGCTGGGGGATAAACAAAGGGCTTCACCAGTATTAGGCAAGCACTTTACCACTGAGTTATATAGAGCCAGCCCTATGGTTTTCTTTCTTTTTATTTATTTATTTATTTCAAATCTTACGGGTATAGGTGTTTTTGTAGACCACTTGCATGCCTTTAGACTGTGGAGGTCAGAAGAGGGCTATATAAGCCTCTGTCTAAAAAATAAAAAAAAAAAAAAAAAAAAGTTTGGGGGTGGACATGATGGCAGCACTAGGGAGATAGAGTTAGGCAGATCTGTTCAAGTTCAAGGCCAGTGAACACATGTCTCAAAAAAAAAAAAAAAAAAAAAAAAAGCAATTTCAGACTGAGGATGTAGCTCAGGCAATAGAATGCTCTTCTATCGCGCCTTGGGCTGAACTTCAACACTACATTAACTGGTCATAGCAGTGTGCACCGACAGCTCCCTCCAGTCAGTAAGTGGAGAGAGGAAGGTGGGAGACACGGGGTAGCCGATACTAACACGCCTCTGCAGGTAAAGGCATTTGCTGCCAAGCCTGGTAACTGAGCTGGATCCCGAGAACCCACATGGTGGAAAGAAAAGAACTGACCATGTATGGTGGCATGCCCGAAGCACACACACACACACACACACACACATGCAAGCACCTGCACACTGAGAATATAATAAAAAATAAAACAGCAACTAAAAGGAAGCAATGCAAAAATTGAACAAATGAATTAGTTCCAGGGTGACCCATGTGACTTGTTTACTTGTCAGCAGCAGGCGGCCTGCTTCCAGTTACTTACAAAAATCCTGCCAGGCATAGTGGTGCATGCCTTCAGTCTTAGCACTTAGGGACAGAGGCAAGTAGACCTCTATAAATTCAAGGCTAGCCTGGTCTACATAGTTCCAGGCCAGCCAAAGCTACGTAGTGTGAGACCCTGCATCACAAATAAGACAAAAGCCCAGTCTTAGCTGAGTAATACCAACATTTGGGAGGCATCAGGAGAATTCTGAATCTGAGTTCATTTTGTACTGCAAAAGAACCATGTCGCAAAATGAGACAGAGTTTAAAAAAGAAAACACAAAACCCTTCTGTCTGTTTGTGTGGATATGATGGGCAGTGTCTTAAGTGTCAGGTAGATAATACAGTTCAGAGACCTACTGATGGGAGCGATCAAAGAAAAGCTATCTCAAAAGGGTGACCTTTGCTTCTTTCATGTAGCTTCTATCATGGAGTATGACAGTATCTGAACCAAAATGTAAGCGATACCAAGTAAGACTTGAGTCATGTACCAGGGCAAAAATAATAATGATGATGATGATGATGATGATGATGTTATTAATAGTGTCTATGTAACAGAGAATGAAACACCTGTGTTCTACTATCAAATTTCAACCTCAAGAAAACAAATTGAAAACTCTTCCTCTTTAAGACAGAGGAGAAACAGAAGCCTGGGAGCCAAGTATCTGTATGTGATAAGAAGCAGAGGCACACGTGGCCGCAGGCCCAGGCCAGCAGGCAGCCTCAGTCTCAGCAACAGACTGGAGAAGGTGGCAGGAAATAACCAGCCAGGAAATATGGCTTTGCCTTTCAAAACAGACTTCCAGGGCTGGTGGGATGGCTCAGTGGGAAAAGGCTATTGCCAAGCCTGATGATCTGAGTCCGTTCCTCAGAATCCAAATGCTGCAAAGGAGAAATGATTCCTGCAAATTGTCCTCAAATTTACCTTTGCACAAAATAAATGTTTTGGGTTTTTTTTTTTTTCTTTTTTTTTTTTTAAAGAAGAAAGACTTCCACAAGCTGTTTTTCCAACTAATTGATGGTACCAAGGAGCTCTGAAAAAGAAGTTTGACAAAATGACTCTAGTGAATTTACTTTCCACTGTAAAGGGCTTGTGTATAAAGCACATCTGTGAAAGTTGTCCTCCTGACAGAGTGCAGTGCTCTGCAGGCTCTGAAAGCACAACTGACAGAGGGTCGTACACTGGGCAGCTTTGGCTGGCCTGGGCTATGTAGACCAGGCTAGCCTTGAATTTATAGAGATCTATCTGCTTCTGTCCCCACGTGCTGGGATTAAAGACACTGTATCTCGCAGGACTTTTTAGGTAACTCTGGGAAGCAGGCCACCTGATACAGATAGGATTTTCTTACGTAAGCATGTCACATGGGTCACCCTGAAGGAACTGGGTCTGATTTCCAACACCAACATCCGCAACCACCCACCCCTCCTGTTCCAGCAGGTCTCATGTTCTCCGATGGCAACATAGAGGTACACACCCAGAGACAAAAATTAGTAGAAGGAAAAAAAGTCAAGGTGGTTAGAACACAAGAGATAATCTACATATGAAAATTGGGACGCCCAATTTGATTCTGGGCAGCCATGACCTGAGATGGCGACTATCATCATTGTATTGTGCATTATCATTACACTAGCCATTAATGTAGGCTAGACAACAAAGGAAGGGATCAAAACTAAGGGCTGTCCAACGGCTGCCCTCACTCACCCCTCTGAGAAGAAGGCATTGATAATCCGGTCCCCCAGTGGGTTGATGGCAAGTTCTGGAATCCTCTGAAAATCTTCCCGGCTGCCAAGAGAATCACCTTAAACTAGAGATCACGGGCCTTTGGAATAAACTCTTTTAAAGCCAAAAGACTCTTGCCTCCTGGAAGTACTTTTGTGGCAAAGTAAACAAGAGTAATTAGATTCTCTACCAAATGTTTCTTGCACCAGCGCAGGTGTAAATGGAGCATGAATTAATTTTGCTATGTCCCTGTCCCAGTAAGCCCAGCAAACAGGTTATGTCAATAAACCAAACAATGAGCAAATACTACACTGTTCCTTAGTAAATGATTTCTTGAATATTACCATTTTGTAGTTATTAAGCTTGGTATTGATGTGAACAGCAAACAGATATGATCAACTACCACAGTACTTGAATGTCGGAGCAGGCAGTTAGAGGAGCCTGAAGACGCTTGCTTGAGAAGAGCTAAAACAACTATGAAATGCAAGAAATTCTTAAGAGATGTTTCCAGTTAAGAAAAGAGCTACAGCGCACAGTGGCCAGCCTGAGCTACGAGTCCTAGCACAAGCTGGATTATCAGAATGAGACCCTCTCATAGCTTTCCAAAAAACTAAGAGAAAAGGGAAATGAAGGAAGGAAGAGAAAGAGAGAAACAAAGAGGAAAGGGAAAGAATCCTTTCTGCAGTGAGAAGTGGGGCAGAGTTAACCTTGGCCATGTTAAGAGCAGCCAGCTTCATGTAACATGGAGGCTGCGATACCATCCACACACACATCCCGTGCTGCTCCAACTTGATACAGTATCGCTCTTTCCCGTGCCACGCTTTATCTGTCCCCTGTGGAACTGAGGAAACGGAACTAGACAAAGTACTTGCCCTTGCCACAACTAAAAGCAGAAAAGGTTTCAATCTAAGACTTTAAGTCAAATGTGTTTTTTGTAAAATCAATATTAATAAAGTTCCCCACACTACATTGTTTTTAAGATAGCAGCCTGATAGAGCACAGCCGCCCAGGCTGTCCTTGAGCTTGCTCTGTAGTGCAGGCCAGCCTGGGACACATGCTCTTTCTGCATCAGCCCCTGAGCTGGAGTCATTCTTGATTACGTAATAAGCTTAAGGGCAGCCAGGGACACAAGAGACCTGTCTCAAAGAACAAAATAAAGAACAACGAGCCGGTAACTTGGCTGTGTCAGTAAGAAGCTGAGTTCAGAGACCCAGCACTCATGTAAAAAAGCCAGATATGGCAGCGCCCGTCTGTGATCCCAGCACACGGGAGATGGACACAGGCATCCCACTGGCCAGTCAGCTTAGCAGAATTGGTAAGTTCTAAATGCATGGAGACCTTAAATCAAATATTAAGATTGGCTAGGCCAGGTAGCACATGCCTTAATCCCAGCACTAAGGAGGCAGAGGTAGGTGTATTTCTGAGTTAAAGGCCAGCCTGGTCTACATAGTGAGTTCCAGGACAGCCAGGGCTACATAATGAGAACCCTGTAAAAATAAAATAAATAAATAAAAAAGTGAAGAAGACACCCAATGTGGACCTATGAATTCTACACCCTCATATACACAAATACATATAAATTCATGCACATACACAGGTCCACACCTGGGGGGGGGGGCAGTAACAACAAAGTATACAAGAGATAAGTCATCAGATGGGACACTGGCCACGAAGCCCAGGTTTAGTCTCCTATGTCAACTTATTCTAGGTTCATCTGTTTTAGCTTAATGTCTGTAAGTGTTTTATCTATGTGTGTGTCTGCGTACCATTTGCATGTCTGGTACCCATGGAGGTCAGCAGAGAGCATTGGAGCCCGTGGAACTGGCGTTACAGATGGTTATGAGCCACTGAGTGAGTAGGTGCTGGGAATCGAACCCATGTACTCTTTAAGAGCAACATGTCCTCTTAGTTGATGAGCCAACTTTTTCAAGTTGTCAGCTGACCTGCGTATGAACACACTTGTGTACACACACAACAGTGCAAACACAGACAAAAACAAGAAATGAATATATAAACTCTATACGTGATTTTTTACTACAAAAATTATTGCAACGGATGTCATACTCAACCATATAGAATGTAGACAGACAGTACTGCATCAAAAAATTTTTAAATTATTTCCTGTGCATGGGTGTTTACCTGCATGTATGTCTGTGTATCGTGTGTGTATCTAGTGCCTGAGGAGGCCAGAAGACAGCAGATCCCCTGGAACTGGAGTTAGTAGATGGTGGAGTTGCCCTGTGGGTTCTGGGAATGGAGCCTGGATCTTCCTGAAGTGTAGTCAGTGCTCCTAACCACTGAGCCACTTTTCCAGCACCCCCACCTTCTTTTCTTGTGTGTGTGTAGGTCTCCCGATGTAGCCCTGGCTGACCTCGAACCCACAGGTGTGAGCCACCACACCCCAGATTAAAATACATACTCTTAACTGCTGAGCCATTTCCCTACCCCCTTCTAGTTTTTCAAGGACAGGGTCTCATATGATTCAGGCTGTCCTCAGTCAGACTCGCTAACTAGCTACGTTAAACTCTACATCCTCCTCCCCCTTACCTACTAAATGCCACGATTACAGCATGCTACACGATAGTAGGCAGACTGTTGTTCTTATGACACGAGGTCATGCCCTGATGATCTCAAAATTCGAACCTTCCTGCCACATCCTCCGGAATGATGGGATTAAAATACCATGCGTGGATCGAATTATGCTTTAAAAAAAAAAAAAAAGCAACAGCATGTATTCCTCTATTGGTGCCTGTGCGTCTGTAAGCGGGTACTAAGCGCAAAACTCAGAGACAACTTACAGCAGTCGGCTCTCTCCTTCCACCACGTGTCCCAGGAATCAAACTCAGCCTGGTGGTGAAAGGGCGAGCACCTTACCTACTGAAACATTTCACTGGCCCAAAACAAAACTATTTTTAAAAGAAAAGATAACATGTAGGCCAGGCTGGCTCCACCTAACATGTGCTGGGGTCACTGTGCCCCACAAAATCAAGTTTTCAATTATTTTTTTCTTTTAATATGCATTGATTGCTTACCTGCGTGTGTGTCTGTGAGGGTACCAGATCCTCTGGAATTGGAGTTACAATCCCCATCACTGTTGTGATAGGAAGTTAGGAGACATACTCCCAAGTACATGACAAATGTTAGTATGGGGGGGGTGAGCTGCATAGATGGCCCAGCAGTTAAGAGCACTTACTGCTCTTGCAGAGTGCGCTCAATCCCCAGCACCAACATGGCAGCGCAAAACTGGTTCAGGAGATAAAGTGCTCTCCACCTGGACTTCTGATGCCAGTTCAGTCCTCGGAACCCAAACAGTAAAAAGAGAGAACTGACTCCAAGTTGGCCTGTGACTCTGCCCCTTCCAACGCCTACAACCCCCACACAATAAATAACTGTTAAAAAGAAATCCCAGAAACTTGACTGTATCTTATTCCTGACTCCAAGAAGTTTATTAACAGAACACAGAACACACATTCATCGACTCCAAGTGCTAATGATGACAGATTATTAAACATTCCTATCCCTGCTGTGGTTTAAACTTTACACGATCAATGAACTGAGCTAACTCATCTCCCCACATCTGGTAACAGGTAGAAACTGACCCAGTGCAGAGCTCTGACTGAGTGCAGAGCTCTGGATTTAATCTTCCTTGATCATTTAGGAAACTGATTTCTGTTATCAATGAATAAGCAAAAATAGCCATTTATAATCTATTAAGATGATAAAGATTCTAGGGTCTGGATTGTTTAATTCAGCAAAAAAAAAAAAAATTACATAATTTGTTCTATAATACAAAGTCTATCTGTTCATCAAAATGTAGTACATCTTGTCTAACAAAAGGGTAAAAAACAATCTTAGAAGCCAGGTGTGGTGGCACATGCTTTTAATCCCAGCACTCAGGAGGCAGAGGCAGGCAGGTCTCTGAGTTCAAGGCCAGCCTGGTCTACAAATAGAGTACCACGATAGCCAGTGCTACATAGAGAAACCCTGTCTCAAAACAAACAAACAAACAAAAAGGAAATAATCCTCAGGCTGGAGAGGCGGCTCAGCGATTAACGGCACGGACTGTTCTTCCAGAGACCCAGGTCCACTTCCCAGCACCCACATGGCAGCTCACAGCTGCCTGTAACTCCAGTGCCAGGGCTTCTAACACCCTCATGCAGACAAAACACTAATGAACATACTGTACAACCTAGCCAGAATCAGTTCAGACTCAATTACGGGCCCTAAACGTGGACTTTCAATGTCATAAAGACCTAAGTCTTTCAATACCAGCAGAGACACTGTGGTCAAAATGGTCCTTGTTCTCCAAATGCAGGACACCTAGCACCTACTCTTGGAATAAAGGCAGCTGCTGGGGAGTGCCTGGCCTGGGGAAAGAAGGAAAGGATGTGCTCACCTGAGAGTCCCGTTCTCCCCTTTGTCCAGGCTGGTGAAGCGGCTGTACAGGCGTGTGATCTGACTGTGGGAAACTAAAGAGCACAAAATTAGTCTCAACTGAAGAAGCAGACTGCATTCACACTATGCCCACAGCCTACCACATGCTCCAGTGTAGGGAAGATGGGGAACCATGCAACTCTTTCTAAAATGTCAAAACAGCCAATTTAAAAAAAACTAAAGAGTAGGAGGAGCTGGAAAGAAAACTAAATCAAAAACAATGAAAACTGGTTCTTAAAATGAAGTGTAGGCTTAATTAAGACCGTATCAGGTGCTTCTCGCCAAGATGGCGTCGAAAGCAGAGGAAGCCCCTGCCCCTCCCAAAGCCAAATCAAAGGCCTTGAAAGCTAAGAAGGCAGTGTGGAAAGGTGTCCACAGCCACCAAAAGAAGATCAGCACATCACCCACCTTCTAGTTGCCCAACCCTGCAGCCCTGGAGGCAGCCCAAATACCCTTGAAGGAGTGTACCCAGGAGAAACAAGCTTGACCACTATGCCATCCTCAAAGTCCCTCTGACCACCGAGTCAGCCATGAAGAAAATAGAGGACAACACATTTGTGTTCACTGTGGATGTGAAGGCTAACAAGCACCAGATAAAACAGGCCATGAAGAAACTCTATGACATTGATGTGGCCAAAGTCAATACCCTTACAAGGCCTGACAGAGAGAAGGTGTATGTTTGGTTGGCTCCTGATTATGATGCTCTGGACGTTGCCAACAAGAATGGGATCATCTAAACTGAATCGGCTAATTCTAAATACATACTTTTTCCACCATTAAAAAAAAGGACGTATCAGGCTAGGAATGTAGCTCAGTGGTAGAGTTCTGCTTAACATGCATGAAGACTTGGGTTTATCTCCAACACACACTCACACAGATACATACACACACTCACACACATAGACATACACACACTTAGTATTTAGGCAGCCTACTTCTGGGTTGCCTAGCAACCTATGATGTCATCATGTGTGGTCTGCCAGGTAGTCACACCAGGCAGGAGTGGTTCGGTTGCTCCATAAAAAGACCACCCTGCCTCTCTCTCTTCTTTCCTCCCTCTCTCCCTCCGTTCCCTTCTCTTGCTCTTCCCCCTCTTTCTGTTGGTGCACCCCTCCCCCAACGTCTCTCTCTCCATCTCCATCCAATAAACCTCTTTCATGATACCTGCTCCTGTTGTCTGCGTGGCATCATTTTTATATAAATACTAACACACACTACAAATGACATAAAGTTAAAGGAGAAAAAAAAAAAAAAACCAACTCAAACTTACTAATTAGTATGGCTCTTTACACTGGAATTTCTAAGCAGGTAACAGCGTCCATCTAAATATCGGGGCACGTCAAGGCCTATCAAACAATTCTGTTTCTAATGTCCAGGTGACAGACCACTACAACCTGGAATCAACGTGTCTGATGGAACAAAGTGGCCATTCTGTGACCAGATGGCTCCTCATTTGGGGTAGCCTCCATAAACCCCAGCCCAAGCTGACAGCTAAAAGCAGTTTCTAATTGCAGGGGGATGCTACAAGCCTGAAAGTGCATTTCTGGGAAACAGTTTTGTCTCCTGGAAGATTGGAGGCAAGGGGAAAAAAAAATCGAGTGACCACAGGAGAAAAAAAAAAAAAAAAAAGACTCCAGCCCCAAAGCAGGTAACAAGTTCAGAATTTATCTCGGCGGCACCTGTGAAGCATGAAGGGTTAACGGAAGTTTGGTTCTGGTGGTTGTCCTCCCCAGGCCACAAGCCTTGCTGTAGGAGGGACAGTGAAACAAGGTAAACACAGCAGGAGGTGAAGCAGGAGGTGAAGCAGGAGGTAGACGGCAGGCAGAGAGGGCATACCAGGGCAGCTGTTATCTTTTCGGCATTAGCTTCATCCTTGAAGGGGCACTCTAATAACTATGGGGTGCAGAGAACAGGAGGAGGCACAACCGCTCCCATCCAGGCACAACAAGCGGGGGTCGCACTGCTAAAGGCCACAGGTGGGGACTCGGGATGCCAGCCAGGCAGGTTTGAGCAGCTCTTTGTAAAGGATACACACTTATGAAGGCCAGGTAGACTGATTCTGATTCCATTCATGGCACCACACAGGGTAAGTTAATGGGTCTGTAAGGAGGTCAGTGATGGAAGGAAAATGCTTGGCAAAGTGCCTGAGTTGGGAAAGCACACCAAGTTAACTATTGTCATCACCTCATCACCCCTGCAAAGAGCCTGAGGCTTTTTTTTTTAGGAATCTGACCAATTTATCCCAGCCTGGCATCTGGCCTCAAAAGCTACTCTTACAGCTGGGCAGGGCAACAAACGTCGGTAATCCTAGCACTCAGCAGGCAGACGGGGGGGCGGTTCTCTGTGAGTTCGAAGCCAGACTGGTCTACAAAGTGAGTCCAGGACAGCCAAGGCTACACAGAGAAACCCCGTCTCTTAAAAAAAAAAAAAAAAAAAAAGCCACTCGTGATAAAATTCCTTTGTTAAGCAAAATTAAGTCAGTTAAAGAATAACTACATTTCCCAAAAAGTTTTGAAATCTGTTTTTACCATCTCAACATTCTTTTCATTTCTTCAATATACCATCTAGTATCATTCATTTGTGTAGTTTGGGTCCAATAGCTTAATTTTCTCTTTTTAATTTTTAAAACTAATTTATTTTTATTTTATGTACATGGGTGTTTTGCCTGCATGTTTGTCTGTATGGGAGTGTTGTATTGAAACAGGAATTACAGACAGTTGTGAGCTGCCATGGGGTTGCTGGGACTTGAACTCAGGTCTATTTGGAAGAGCAGCCAGTGCTCTTAACCACTGAGCCATCTCTCCAGCCCCACTAATAGCTCAGTTTTCAATTAGTAATTCATATTTTCATATTGGTGGAGTATATTATGCTTCTGTGTCTGTGTAAGTGGCCATTTTCTATCTTAATAGACTGTGAATTCGGTCTCAAAGGAAGCTGTAGTCTACTCTGCTGATGAGAAATAATTATTTTCTACTCAAAGACTGAAAAGACCCTGCTACCCTCGAGTTGAGCCCTCTCTATCATTCCTGCCTTTTGTTCAGGACAGGAAGGCAGTTCAAGCACATGCTAAGCAAGGTGGACTGGCAGCTAGAAGCATGGAAAGTTAGAGCTCTAGGATGAGCAGAGTTACTTTGTCGTCGCCTTCATCCTCTCCTAATGGAGAAAACCGCCTGGGTTAAAGTGCACAGCTGCAGGCACCAGCAGCCCCAGGGACACGCCGCCCAGCTGAGCCTGCATGCCCGGCCATTTCTTTTAATGCTTCGTCCCCTGACATTTTCCCAACAGAAGGACTTCAGGATCTAACCCATTCTCCTGAGAACAAGCGGAGACTACCAGGTCGTAGCGGCACATACCACCTTTAATCCCAGCACCCAGGAGGCAGAGGCGGGCAGGTCGCTGAGTTCAAGGCCAGCCTGGTCTGCAGAGTGAGTTATAGGACAACCAGGGTTACATAGTAAGACCCTGTCCCTGTTCTCTGCTCCTAAAACACACAAAAAAATCAAGGGCAAAGGTGGAGCTCAACGGTACACCCTCTCTAAGCATATAGGCAAAACTGTAGGTTCAAGCCCTAGCACCAAAGTAAATAAGTAAATTAATGAGAGAAAATAGATATGGAAAGAAAACACAACAAAACTGTTAACAACATACGTATTAAATAGGACCAAGTTTCAGTGCTCATTTACTACCAACTTTTCTGTATGTTACTCTTGTTTTTGTTTGTTTGTTTGTTTGTTTGTGTGTGTGGTTGGTGCTCCCACTGTTTCTTGTTGTTGTTTGAGACTGTATTTTTTTATTTTAAGAGCATCTTCCCAGAATGTATATATGTATGTATGTGTAGCACATGTGTCCTTTGTGCCAAAAGAGGCCAAAGGAGGAAGTTACAGGTAACAGTAGCTGAGGTGTGGCTGCGGAGAACCAAACCTGGGCCCTCTGTAAGCGCAGCAAGTACTCTAAACTGCTGAGCCATCTCTCCAGCCCCTTTTTGTTTTAAAAATAGTTATGTGTGTATATACGCACATGTGTGCTCATGTGTTTAAGCCACAGCCCATGTAAGGTCAAAGGGCAACTTGCCAGAGTCAATTCCCTTTCCACCATGTGGGTCCTGGTAGTCAAACTCAAGCCAGCAGGTTTGATGGTAAGCACCTTTACCCAGGGAGCCATCTAGTCAGCAAAAGACAGCATCTTGGGCTGGAGAGATGGCTCAGTGGTTAAGAGTACTGTCGGCTCTTCCAAGGGACCCAGGTTCAACTCCCAGCCCCCACATGGTAGCTCACAACTGTCCATAAGCAGTTCCAGGTGGTCTGACACCCTCACACCAATGCACATAAAATAAAAATTAAATACATTATTAAAAAAAAAAAAGACAGTATCTTGCTACACAGTCTAGTCTGGTCTTGAATTCAGAATCCTCTGGTCTTAGCCCCTTCTAATGCTGGGGTTATAGGGATAAAATAAGCTTCCACATACAGATCTGGCATGAAAATCTAATCTCCTGAATCTGATATATTCAGGTCAAAGTTTGCTGTTTACTACATATAACCTAAGGTATCTGCTCCTCTCTGCTCCTGCTCTTCCAAAATAGTGTCTACTACATGTAACACACATATTGCTGTTTTGTAGCACAATGTATTTCTACTTAAACTCTGACCACTTGGCTTATATATCTGCAGCTGCTTCTGGGGTCAGTGAATTTCTATGTAAACTTCAAGCAGTCTACACTTTGAACCTCCTTCCTCATTCATAAGGATCTATCCATTCTCCTTATCCCTTTCTAGTAAGAAATGGGAACTCTGGGAGAAAACTAAAGATGCATAGAGCTTTATTTCAAGCCTACCAAAGATATTACCTCTGCATTTCCAACTCAGTAGGTGACAAGGCCCTCTGTCACCTCAGCAGGGCCCTCTGTACTCAGAGTCCCCAAAACTAGGGTATGACAAGGAGAGGCCAGGAAGGGGCCCCAGAAGGAGGCAGGAGCACCCAGAGGCTCAAATTTTCGAAAAAATTATTCTCAAGCAATTGCCTTTGTCAGGCTTGTACTCTGTTGGAACTAGAGAGAAGCCCACACCCTTTTTATCTTCACTACACCCTTTCAAACAAACAAAAAGTCACTGGTCTGTACAACTCGCTTCCTAAACCTGTCCAACACCCTGCCCATGACCACAGGACACACAGCAAAAGGCAGAGACTAATGAGAAGCCGATCTGCATTTACCACTGTTTAGCTGGCATGAACCTTTGCTCAAAGTTAAGGCAACCCTATTTAAGGCAAGCTGTTCCTGCGGTTAAGGGTACTAAGGGAAGAGTCATTAAAGAAATCCCTAAGACACCATGACCTCCCTCCCATTGTATCTTTTAGTCAAATGTGCTAACTTATAAAAAAGCTAAATATAGTAGGCATTTTATAACAACAAAGGTCAACAAAGTGTTTCCTTTCTTTCTTTCCTTCCTTTTTTTTTTTTTTTTTTAAGACAGGGTCTCACTGTGTAGCCCTAGTTGGCCTAGAGCATGGAGTTCCACCTGGCTTTATTTGTGAATCTGTGCATGTCAGTGAGAGTACCCTGGGAGGCCACAGGCATTAGATCCCCTAGAGCTGGAATTACAGGTGGTTGTGAACCACCTGCCCAATATGGGTACTAGGAACCAAACTGGAGTCCTCTTAACTGTGGAGCCATCTCTCTGGCCCCTAAAGTGTTTCTTAAACTCTGAGAAACCTCACCACGGTAGGTGGTGCATGCCTCATATCACAACACCCAGAAAGTTGAGGCAAGGGATTGCATTTCCTGAGCCAGCCTTAAAAACAAATTAAATAAAACAAAATCTGGGTATATCTTCTTTTAGTTTTTTCCTTTTGGTTTGTTTTCTTTTCTTTTTTTTTTTGAGATAGGGTTTCTCTGTGTGTAGCCTTGGCTTTGTAGACCAGGCTGGCCTTGAACTCACAGAGGTAAGCCTGCCTCTACCTCTCAAGTGCTGGGATTAAAGGCGTGCACCACCACTGCTGGGCTAGTTTTACTTTCTCAGGATTGACAAAATGTTAGTATTTGATTCCTAAGGCACACTGAAAATAAGCAATGTATAAAATGCTACCACCTCTAGTTATACAGCCATAGACAGGACCTAAATGGTTTTTCTATCTAGCACATTCAAAGGTGATTGTTATCTATGGTTCAAAATGATCATAGATGGGCCTGTGAGGCTGTCAGCAAGTAAGGTGCCTGCCTCCCAAGCATGACAACCTCAATCTAGGCCCTACAATCAAAGGAGAACAGAGACAACACCACGAGGTTCTCTTTTAACCTCTGCACGAAGGGGCAGGTTTGCCTTCCCCACAGCCCCTATTTAAAAACCCCGGGGAACTGGGCATGGTGGCACACACCCTTAATCCCTGTGCTCAGGAGACAGAGGCAGGCAGATCTCTGACTCTGAGGCCAGCCTGGTCTGCATAACAAACTCCAAGATGGTCAAATTACATAGAATTTGAGACCTTGTCTCAAAAAGCAAAAGAAAAGAAAACCCCTGAAAATTAAATATCAATAGCTAGCAACTATACAACATACCAGCACCAGTTAAAAGAACTTTTTTTCATTTATCAGGCTAAGGATTCTAAAATGTAAAGCGCATGGTGGTGCACGACTTTAGTGCCAGCACTCAGGAGACAGAGGCAGATGGAGCTCTGTGAGTTCAAGGCCAACCTGGTCTTCAAAGTGAGTCCAGGACAGCCAGGGAAACCCTGTAAGCCTGTCAAAGGTGGGGGGTGGGGGATGAAACAAATCTCTCCTGATGGGTGCTAACTAAATAAACTGATTGTTCAATCCCTTGGGTAGAGGAATGACTTTGTAGCCAACCGCTTTGTAGCCGCTGCTTAAAACCACTGAAACGCCCTAGGTTAATTTATCCAAAATGAATCCATTTATGCATCAAGACCTGATTCCTGTACCCCACAAAGACAACTCAAAGGCTCTCTTTCTTAAATTCTGAAGGTGGGCGCTGCATGATTTCAGCTTCCTTCTGTCCTGATGCTAAAACTCTTTGGTTAATCTCCCCAGCCAGGTTGTGGGTGTCTCATGTGTCTCATTACCATCTGCTCTGAACAGCTAGCAAATTAAACAGACACTGCAAAAATACCGTATTTGTTTCATTAGGTTTTCCCAATCAATATATATACACTGGTTTTGATGGCAACCTTTCTCATACTTGAATCACCCTTGAGTAACCAGGATAATAGTTCTTTCATGACTACTTAGATTTGTCCATGAATCACAAGGTAAAACCCAGTCCTACAGCCAGGACTAATGAAAAGAAACTAATGACATCACTGTTCCATTCATTCTGAAGCAAAAACAGCCTTCCCCCAGTTGAGCATCATACTGCATTGAAGAGGCTGAGGCAGGAGAATTGTTCAAAACCTATGAGTTATGGAGTAACTCTTTTGGTTTTTTGTGTGTTGTGTTTTGTTTCATTTTTCAAGACAGTTTCCCTGTGTCACCCCAATTATCCTGGAGCTTGTTGTGCAGACCAGGCTGGCTTGGAACACAAATGAAATAGACCTGCTTCTGCCTCCTGAGTGCTGGGATTAAAGGTGTGTGCTGCCAGATCCAGTTTATAGTTTATGTAGTAAATTTTATTTGGTTTTCCCAGACAGGGTTTCTTTGTATAGCCACAGCTGTCCTGGAACTCCCTCTATAGACCAGGCGTGGCCTTGAACTCACAGATCCACCTGCCTCTCCCTCCTGAGTGCTGGGATCAAAGGCCTGCGCCACCACCGCCCAGCCTATGCAGTGAATTCTAAGCAAGTCTGGGCTATAAAACTCGGTAAGACCTTGTATCAAAAATCAAATGAAAATAAAACAATAGCTTGTCCTGTGCTCACTAATCTTCCTCATGATGTAGCGCAGATACTTTGATTTGGATGTCACCCCAGATGTAAAGAAGTCATTATATTTACAAGTGTGGGTCAGAGGTAAATGCTTGCCAAGTCCAACTGCCTGTATTTCTACTCATGGAATCAAAGTCACGAAATGTCCATAATGGAGAGGGGCTAAGCAAAAGCTTTAAAAAAGTGAAGAATTTTTCTGTCGTTCATTCAAAATTGTGAAAAGGATCACCCTGGTTAAGTACACAGGTCAGCACGGCTAAAGGTCTTGGCAAAGCTTATCAGCCATGAGTTGGTACGGGATGGCAAAGGAAGCAAAGCAACCTGATAGGAGTGGAGGCCAGATAACACCTCTTCCAACTTGCACACTCTACAAAGTTTAACTTGTCAGACAGCCAGGACTTTTCATTTCTCCAAGGGCTCCGTCCCTGGGGACTTCTGCAGCTTCCTGGTACAGCTTAGTACTATTTGCCATTGTGTTATTTGCTCACATTGTCATCAAAGACGCAGGTATCACGAAGACACAGCTTACAAAACGAGCGTTACAAAGGATCCCTGAGAAAGCACTGTAGCAATACAATTGTATCATGCATCATCAAGGGCTTTTCAAAGGTATGCTTGTGTTTTCTGTGCTTCTGAACTCCCAAAACCCTATGGTTCCTCTGTTTAGGTTAACAAGAAAGAATACTGGAGTATACCCTTAACACAAAATATCTGTTCCTAGTACAAATTCACAGATTTCGGAGTACATGCCGTTTCAAAACCGAATGCATCAAGTACAGCAACACAGAAGAAATCAACATATATGAAAACAGGACAAGTATCTTCGACGTGTCTTTAAAACCTTGGTCACTATACTCGTGCTTTTTCTCCAACAGTTCGATTAAAAAGCCTCACTTGGGTTTTCGGACTCCTGATTGCTTAGAGGTCTCCCGTCCCTGGTCACAAGCCTTACTACACGATTTTCTTTTCTCAATTTACTTTTCCCTGTGTGTGATTTTTGGTATTTTTAGGTCCTTGCTTAGAAAACTCATTGGGATGTATAACGTTTTCTCCAGGAACCATTCAGGTTTCCTGGATTTGCTTCTGCTTTAGCTCCTGTTCAGGACGCTCCTGTTCAGGACACCCCTGTAAGAGGAACCATAAGGGTAGAAAATGCGCGGACTTTCGCGGGCAAGACTGGAGTGGTGGTGGTGTCGGCTCCGCTGCTGGCTCGAGATCCCAGGCTTTGAAGGCGAGACAGCACCAGGAGAGCCACGTCCCGGCTCCGGGAAGATACAGATGAACGTACAGGTACCCTAACCTTCGGCGACCCAAAGCAGCAGAGGCTGCACGGGATCCCTCCCCACAGAGCCACCGCACCCCAGATCAAGACCTCAGCCGCCACCGCGGAGAACCGAGGCCAGCCGGGAGGCGCCGGGCCGCCCTCCCGCCTCCAACCCGAACTCACAGCCGGTCTCCTTCTTGATCTCCTCGAGCTCCTCGTCCCGCAGTAACGTGGAGGCCCGAGACCCCATCACCGTGGACGGAGCTCCTACGGGAGCGGCGGCGCCAGAAGCAACGGCGGCGAGACCGGAGGCGGTGGGGAAGGGCCAGGGGTCAAGAAGGGAGAGGGCACTGTTTCTCCTGCGGCCCCGGGGAGGGAGAGCAGGGGTGGCGCGCGGGGGAGGGCGGCCCGACACCAGCCAATCGCCGCAGAGGCCGCGCCCTGCGCAGGCGCCAACGTCAAAGCCCGGCGCTCCGGCCCGCAATGAATCAGCCCGGCGGCTGCGGGAATCCAAGGCGGACAGACCCCGCCCCCGGCCCCACGGCCGCCGCCGGCCTTAAAGCGGCGATGCCACCGTGGCGCTAGCGACCTGCGCTTAAAAGGGCAGCGCCGCCAAGCAACCGCCTTCAGACTAGTCAGGGCGCACACCCCACCGAGGGGCCGGCAGGCTGATCACCGGACTCCCCACGCCGGCAAGCCCGCCCGACAGGTGACAGGACTCGAGAGGAACAAAACCGATCAAAGGAGGGGGGGGGGGGGAAACCCGGGGGTGGATGCCCAGAGACGGGCAGGTTCACTCCGCCCGGGCAGGCTGTCCTGCTGCCTGGCTCGCCGCTCTCTCTCCCCCAACTCTCCCTCTTGTTTTTTGGTTTTTCGAGACAGGGAGTGGAGCCTTGGCTGGCCCGGCCTCGCCTTATAGACCAGGCTGGCCTCGAACTCACAGCGATTTGCCTGCCTCTGCCTCCCCGAGTGCTGGGATTTTAAGGATGTTGGTTGCGCCGCCTCTGCCCCGTCTCTCTTTTGATCTCCTTCCCGCCCTCCTTTTTCCCTCTCCTCCCCGTGGTCCTCCCACACTCGCTCCCTCGGCCACAAGAGTCGGGTGTTGGAAGCTGCCTGGGCCTCACGCCCATTGGCTGCATGTTTCCTGAGCTCCCCTCCCCGGCCGCAGGGGGCGCTGGGAGCCCACTCGAGGCCGCACGCCCATTGGCTGCATCTCTTCTGCGCTCCCCTCCCCGGCCGCAGGGGGCGCTGGGAGCCGACTCGAGGCCGCACGCCTATTGGCTGCATTTCTTCTGCGCTCCCCTCCTCTGCCGCAGGGGGCGCTGGGAGCTGTCTCGAGGCCGCACGCTGATTGGCTCCTCCGGAAAGAGGCAGGTCTTTCGCCCCGGGGACGGGCTTAGCCGGCTCCGCGGTTTCAGTAGCCGGCGCTGCGAGCTTTCGTGCAGGCGAGGCTGTGCCGCAATAACTCCCAGGTTTTCTGACAATAGTCTTTTCTTCAGTTCAAGGAAATCACTGAAATTAAGTTTCCCAAAGTTCTCTGCTGAGGGGCCAGAGAACCCTAAAGGTGAGGGAGAGGGAATACTTCGAGCAGGGGCGTTCGTATTTATTTACTTGAAATTTGTTGTTAAAAATAGGATTTTTTTATTTTTTTTCTTTCCGGGCGGTGGTGCTGCACGCCTCTAATCCCAGCACCCGGGAGGTAGAGGCAGGCGGATATCTGTGAGGCTAGCCTGGTCTACAAAGTGAGTTCGGACAGCCAGTGCTGTACAGAAAAACCCTGTATCCCTAAATAAATAAGTTGGGGTTTTTAAAGCGTGAGCCAGCACTTGTTAGGTGAAAGCAGAAAAGTTGCAAGTTGGGCAATATCGGGAAATCCTGTTTAAAGAGTTTTTGGGTTTGTTTTGCCGCTCCTGGATACCATACTTGTAATTCAGGAGGTGGAGGCCGGAGGATTTGGAGTTTCTGCTGCCGCATAGTGAGCACAAGGCCAGCCTGGGCCCGGAAAACCCTTTCTAGAAGGAGGGAAATGCTTTTCTTCCTTTTTTTCCAGAAGAGCTCGGGCTAGTCTCAGCCTCTTAAGTGGCTGCGGTTACAGACTTGAGCCTCCAGTGCAGGTCATGCATTTTGTTCTTTTCTCTTTTGTTTCGTTTGCGACAGGTTTTCTGTGGTAGCACTGGATGTCCCAGAACTCACTATGTAGGTCAGACTGGCCTCTAACTTAACAGAGGTCCACCTGCCTCTGCCTCCTGAGAGCGGGGGATTAAAGCCAGGTGCATTTAATTCTTGGTGCATTTTGTTGTTGTCGTCCGCTCTAATGAGGAAAAAGTTAAAAGCCACGTTAGTGTCCGCCCTCTCAAGTGAAGCAGTTGTTTTCCTGTGGGATCACCTGTCTTGCCCCTTCTCCCCTTTGTTTAAAATCAGCTTGAGACATAGAAGAAATTCTCATCACTATTAGTACCAAAATATCTTGGCACCTTTCTCAAATCCCCTTAGGCTACAACTTCAGAGTTACTTAAGGCATTTCAGCTCAGAGTCCAAGACTTCCCTGGCCACTGAATTTCTGGTCTGACTCAGTGGTTTTCCTAACTAACCCCTCTGTCTTAGCCCATTTGAGATCATGGTAATGTGATTGTATACTATGGTGATGGCAACGTTTGGAAACGCCAGTTTAAGAAGCCCATTAAGTGTAGTATGGAAACGTTGCTGTCAGACACATACACACTCCCTTTCTCTTTAAACCTGGACGTTCATCTCTTCATCCTGACCTCTTTTCCTTCCTAATTCTTGTAAAGATTTATTTATTCATTATTTATGCAATATTCTGCCTGCATGTTGCCTGTGCACCAGAAGAGGGTACCAGATCTCACTATAGATAGTTATGAACCGCCATGTGGTTGCTGGGAATTGAACTCAGGACCTTTGGAAAAACAGACAGTGCTCTTAACCTGTGAGCCATCTCTCCAGCCCTTCCTAATTTTTAATGTAAATTTTGATGGCTGTATCCAGTTAAACCCTTTCTGTTAGGCCTGGTACCTATAGTCACAGCACTGAGGAAGCAGAGGCAGGAGAATCTTTGCAAGTTCAAGGCAGAATGCTCTAGATAGGACATTCCAGGCCAGCCAGGGCTACTCAGAGAGACCCTAAGAACCAAAAACAGAGACAAGTTTCTTTGCTATGTGGGCTTTTTTTAATCTGATTTGTTTTATCCTTTAAAAATGGTGTTTGTGTGGGAGTGAGAGGTGTGTGTGCGTGCGTGCGTGCGTGGGTGTGCTTACCAGTGGAGGCTACAGGAGGGTATCAAATCCCTTAGAGCTGGAGTTGGAGGGGTTGTGAGCCACCGAGCGTGATGCGGGGTAACACCAGGCTTCCGTGTGTTCTCTAGGACAGAAAGCACCCTTAACTGCTGTGCAAGACTCTGGATTCAGTACTCAGCATCAGTAACATACACAGATAAAAGCACTTGGGAGCTGGGAAGGTTCCTCAGTGAGGACCCGAGTTCAGTTTCTATGTAGAAAGCTAGACGTAGCATATGTCTCTAATCGCAGCATCCAGAATGCAGAGGAAGGTCAGTCACTGAGTTCTACATCAGGCTGGTCTTTACAGCAATTTCTATTCTACAGCAAATTATAGCCAAGACTATACTGTAATACTTTATCAAGAAAATAAGTAAAAAGCCTTTATTTAGCTGCTATGAGAAATGAGGTATCAGGGCCAATTTTTAAATTAAAAATAATTTTTTTTTTCATACAGTGTGTTCTGATCACAGTTTCTCCTCCTTCATTTCCTACCAGATCTTCCCCATCTTTCCATACTTCCAACTCCGTCTCTTTTCTCTCTCTAGAAAGCAAACATACATGCATTTAGTCCCAGTGCTTGGGAGTCAGGTGGCTCTGTGAGATAGAGGCCAGGCTTGTATGCATAGTGATTTCCAGGGAAGCCAGAGCTACATAGTGAGACTCTGTCTGGAAAAAAGGAAAAAAAAAAAAAAAAAAAGCAATTAAACCAGAATAAAACAAAAGAAACAAAAAGCATGAGAAACACACAAATAAAATCCATACAAACACAAAATTGGGGCTGGAGAGATGGCTTTGGGGTTAAGAGCACTAGCTGCTCTTCCGAAGGTCCCGAGCTCAATTCCCAGCAACCACATATATGGTGGTTCACAACCATCTATAATGAGATCAGATACCCTCTTCTCCATGGTACATGGAGGCACAACACTGTATACATAATCTTAAAAACACACACAAAATTGGAAACTAATATACAAGCAAAAGTCTAGTAAGGTTAAAAAAAAATTCCCAAAGAAAGCAATATGAAACAAAACATTTCCAAAACTACCGTTGAGTTCATTTTGTGAGGCCATCTATTGCTAGGCATGGGACATGCCTAGCAATGTGGTTTGTATACCTCCTGAGACTCCACTGGAGAAGTTAGGATTTCCTTTATGAGCAGGCGTCAGTTGGAGATTGGTTTCAGTTGGAGATTGGTTTCTGTTTAGGGATGGGCTCTCGTGTCCACTTCCCCTCTCAACGCTGGGATCCCATCTGGTTTGGACCTATGCATGCTGCTGCAGTCTGTGAGTTCATGTCCCTTGGTCCCATTGTGTCTGGAAGGTGCTGTTTACTTGGTGTCGTCCATCTCCTCTGTCCTTTACAGTCTTTCGGCCCCCTCTCTCCTGCATAGTTGACTAACCATGCCCATTTTATAAACAAAAAAGCTACTCCTGTCTTGTCCATGGATAGCCCTAGAATTTTGAGTTTCTTATATATGAATTAAAATTATGGGGCTGGAGAGATAGACCAATACCTAAGAACACTTAAGCTCTTGCAGAAGACATAGCTTTAGTTCGCAGCAACCACATGACAGCTTTCACCACCCAGTTTCCGGGGAATCTGGTGCCCTCCTCTGTCTTCCTCAGGCACTAAACTAATGTGGTGCATAGACACACATGGAGGTAAATCCCTTGTACACATAAAATAAAAATAAATAAGCCGGCCCACGCTTGTAATCCCAGCACTTGGGGAGGCAGAGGCAGGCGAATCTCTTGTGAGTTCAAGGCCAGCCTGGTCTACAAAACAAGTCCAGGACAGCTAGGGCTCTGTTACACAAACCCTGACTCAAATAAATAAATAACAGAAACTGTCTCAAAAACCCAAAGATAGATAGACAGACAGACAGACAAGATAAAATTGGCTGTGGTTATTAGCATCTTAAAGTAATGAACAAAGTCAAAGTACTTATGAGGACAGTGGTTCTCAGCCTTCCTAATGCTACAACCTTGTAATACAGTCCCTCATGTCCTGAACCCCCCCCACCATAAAATTATTTTTGTTGCTGTTTCATAACTAATTTTGCTACTGTTATGAATTAATGTTGAATATA